AGACCAACAGACCTCGGGAGCAAGGCACACCCCTCCCCCCCCCCGGAGCACACTGGCAGAGATAGGGAGGTGCAAAGGCTGTGCCGGGATCCCCTTCATGGTGCCTGCCCATCACTGGTGCATCAGGCCTGGGGGAGACAGAAGGGCCTCTCCCCGAGTTGTGCAGAGATCCTGGGCAGGATTCTCGGCTGAAACCTGCAAGGCAGCAGGGGGCCCAGCAAAACCCACAGGGAGCCGGCTGCAGTACAAGCACTGGCAGAGATAGGGAGGTGCAAAGGCTGTGCCGGGATCCCCTTCATGGTGCCTGCCCATCACTGGTGCATCAGGCCTGGGGGAGACAGAAGGGCCTCTCCCCGAGTTGTGCAGAGATCCTGGGCAGGATTCTCGGCTGAAACCTGCAAGGCAGCAGGGGGCCCAGCAAAACCCACAGGGAGCCGGCTGCAGTACAAGGGGCTGCAGATAAGTAGCCCATCCCTGATTGCACCCAGCTCACCTCCTGGGTGCAAAGCCAAACAGCCCCTGGCTGGGAAAGCAGCAGATAAAGCACCCGCCTCCCCCTCCCCCAGGGGAACAAAGGCCTCCACTAACAGCTGGCAATAAAGCTCCACACTTCCCAGCAGAGAACAAGGGGGCAGCAGGTGGGGCCTGGGGCTCACCGCCCCCCAGGAGGCTGCAGGAAAGGCCTGGGAGGATTATCCAGGGCCAGCCCTTAGCACATGGAAAGGGCTTCCCCAGCATCCATCCATCCCACACCTGCACTGGCTGCGCAGGTGGGCAGCCATGCAGGGGGGCTTGGTTACAGGCCTCCTCTGTGGCCATCCAATGCTAACAGGGTCTCTCTAGTCCTCAACGCCAGCTAGCTGCCACCCAGGGAGTGGGAGGGGGACAGTCATCCTAGCTTCACCTATGGGGAAACTGAGGCACGGCCCTTGAGTGCCCTGTCCAGAGCTCTGAGTGCGAGAGCAGGGAACAGAACCCAGGAGGCCTGGCTCACAGGCTGCTAGGCCTCGCTGAGCCTCCCCCCAAAAGAAGGGCAGTATGCACAGACAGGAACCCCCCCCCGCCCCTTTCTCTAACCACTAGATCCCTCTCCCTCTCCGCACCAGAAAAGAACCCAGAAGTCCTGCTTGCATCACTCCAGTCCCGGGGAAACAAAACCCAAACAGCTCCCGGGGCAGACATCGGTAGCGACGTCTGGAGAGTCCCCAGCCG